GGTGTCAAAAAGCTTTTGAGCTGAAATTTCGTCTACAAGTAGGGGATATATAGACTAGAAAGAGCCTAAAAGAATATGTGCTCAAGTTGATGTTTAACTGAGATATCGACTATTTATTGTACTTGTCCTATAGGGCCCTATCTGTGCGGTAAAATCAAAGTTTCGAAATTAGACTTGAAATTTTGTCCACACTAAGACCTCAATCAGACAAGCTGGTTTACAAAGTTTCAGAAATTTTAGACAGATTATCTCCGAGATATGAATCCGTCAAAATATTCATGTGAAGCTTAGTATCCATAAGAAAGCGTCCCTATGTTAATATACTTGTATCTCGGAGACAGTCTTTCCGAAATTTCTAAAACTTTGTAAGCAAGCTTGCCTGAGTGAGGTCTTAGTGTGGACAAAATTTCAAGTCTAAATTCGAAACTTTGATTTTACTGCACAGATAGGGTCCTATAGGACAAATACAATAAATAGTCGATATCTCAGTTAAACATCAACTTCGGCACATATCCTATTAGGCTTTTTCTAGTCTATGTATCCCCTACTTGTAGACAAAATTTCAGCTCAAAAGCTTTTTGACACCTCGGGAGGTTCTCTCGTTAGCAAAAATAATTATTATTGATAGTATGTAGTAAATATCGTAATACTCTTACAAAATTTTCTTTAGTATATCTATCTTCTCCTATGTAAACAATCTGAAATCTCCCTTTAGTATTATGAAACAGATAATATATTAGATATGTATGATTATTCCAACAAAATGTTTGTATCCTTACTATAAAATTTCTCTGGAATCAAAACCAAACGATTCGATCTAAATAAAAATATTGAATTATGGCGCTATCTATCGTAGAATAGAAACTGGATGGAAATATTTTTAGTCCAATGTTATTTATTATATTAGACGTACGTGTGTTTAAAGTCAATCCGTATAATATTATTATTCTGTCTCTGCTTTTTGTCGATCTTATCAATTATTTGCAATCATGATAGGTGATACGATTTTAATTATTTTTATATCAGTCGCAACAGCTTTACTTGGTGAAGGTATGTTTAATTTAGATTGATAAAAAATTGAATTGTATTTATGAATTATATTAGGTCTTACATGGCTTCTAGTCTATCGAACAGAGAAATATCAACGTTTGAAAGGTGAAGTAGAAAAACAAAGTAAACGACGTAAGTTAAATATGATTTTTTTGTTATAAAATTCAAAAAAGTATAATTTAATAGTTGAACGTCAAAAGGAAACTGTTAGTGAAGCAGCAGATAAAGTCCAAAAACGTAAACTTGGTTAGTAATTCGAATTATTGTAATAAATTTTGTTATAAACTCATATATTCTAATTTTTAGAACGTCAAGAAGAAAAATTGAAAATTAATAATCGAGATTTATCAATGGTAAAAACGATTGAATTTTTTGCATTTGATTAGAAAAGATGTTTATTTTATTTATACATATAAAGGTCAAAATGAAATCTATGTTCGCATCAAGTTTCACATTTATGGCATTACTTGGCATGTTTAATTCAATGTAAAAACTCGAATATTTATAATTATAAATTAGAATATAGAATTTTTTTGTTCAGTTTTGAAGGTCGTATTGTAGCTAAACTTCCATTCGAACCAATTCCATGGATACGCGGATTATCACATCGAAATTTATCTGGTGATGATTTTACTGATTGTTCATTCATATTTTTATATGTTTTATGTACAATGTCTATTCGACAAGTAAATAAATTTTGTTTTTCTTTATAATATAAATTTTTATTTTATTTTAGAACGTTCAAAAATTGTTTGGTCGTAAGTATTTTTTGATTTGAATCTTATATATAAATTCGTTTTTATCTATTAGTTGCTCCATCACGTGCTGCAAGTAAAGCATCTGGCGGTTTCTTTGCAACACCGGGTCAATTGACGCAACGTTAAAATGAATCATATTAACAGTGTGTTGAACAAGAACAAAACTAGAAAATGAAACTTTTATGTTCTTCTTTTTTGTCACTCCATATTTAAGAGAAATAAATCATGTTGTGTTTTGCTAAACTAAAAAAAGAGGAATTCTACTAGTTAAATATTGCATTTGGGGATCAATCAATATTGTTTTATGATAAAAATGTCAAGAATTTTATAGTAAAAGTTGAACAGTTTGAAATTACGTGTGGCAAAAAAAAATTCTTTTATTTACTGATCATGATTTTTTTTGTCAATTAAATACGCGAAGATCTTCTTACAAAATCAAACATTTATTATACATGAGTTAATTGGAATTAGACGATACTATTTCGTAAAGAAATTTAAGTACAAATTAGAAGAGAATTTTACCTTACGAGACAACAGAATGTCAGTATTTATATAAGATAATTGATATTATATCTTTATCCTACTTGAAAAAAATCTGTATGAAATATTATACATTCTATTTTCTAATATAGACGAAATTGGATCATCTATTCCAGAATAAAAAAGAAGTCTTGTCAAATTCATAGAAGTATTTTCTAGACAATAATTAATCCTATAATAGCATGTTACTAAAATCTCCTATTAATATAAGAAACATATTCTTTCAGCTTATTTTTCTTTTGTTTTTTTAATATATTTTCTACGATTTAAATTTGATTAGTCTATGATTAGTTTTAATATAAAGCTTGAACATCCGATTTAGAAGATTGTCAATCATTAACATATAAGTGTAATATTCATTCACCTTCGTCAATGTGTACATTTCATTCAATGATATATCAACATGAATGTTACATATGTCACATACGAATTGAATACGTTTTCTTTTTCCTCTCTCGCTTCAATATCGTATTATAATAATAATAATCTTCTCTATACATATACAAATGCACTTCGATTTTAGTATATATATATATATATATTGATCGAAAGGTGATGTGTTGACGATGATAAAATATAAACAATTGTCATGTAGGTAGTTTACTTTTCTTTTATTCCTTATAGTATATATATGAAATATGCAAAAAAAAATGTGAGCAGGTGTAAGGTATCTTTTTATCAGTATCAACATAACACCAAGAAACAGAAGAAAAAAGGTATATATGAATAGTACTTCAGTCTTTCGTTACTCGCCTTTTTTTTGACAACATACTAAAGGAAAAGTATTACAAAAAAAAAGAAAACGTTGTCTTTATCTACCAACAAAAATCGGCAGACACTTGAAAAAAAAGACTCCTTTCACAGTCAACCGTCGACAGTTATAATTAGTACATTATGCTCATTATATGCAGTTCATGTGGATTGCTCACGTCATCAAGTCAACATCGATCAGGTAGTGTTGTCTAAAAGGAAAAAGAATGAACTTTTAGAAAAGAAGAAAGAAAAAAAGCTTTTCCATAGCACATGTTTCTTTTTCTTTTTTCTTTTCATAACACAACTACCGTACTACTCTTTCTTTCTAACATGAATGGGCAGACACATCCGTTTAAATATTTAAGAAAAAGAAGAGACCATTTTTTTTCTGTGACTGATTAATCATCATCAAAATTTTTCTATTGTTATTTTAGCAACGAATTGAATTGATTTAGTTAAAAAATAACAAAGTCGTTTATTTAAAACAGAGAAAAGAAAAGATAAACAAAATCAGTTAGTATCATTTTATTAAATTTTCATGCATATTAATGTATGTATAAATTTTTGAATTAACTGCCGTTGGCATTTGTTATTTTCTACGAACACTTGAAATTTCTAAAAGTAAACGAATGAAATATATTCAAGCATTTTTTTTGATTGAATTTCGTTAATGAATATTCATTTTTAATATTCGTCATCATTTTCTTTTAATGTATCAATATATATATCATGTTCCTCTTTTTTCTCTCTTGTATAAACTATTGTTTAAATGATATATGTATTTGACATTATAAATATATGTGCTATAATTGTCAAACATTATTTTGATCAGTCGTTTTGGTCGGTGAACACCACCAGCCTGGAAGGCATCTGTTTGAATGCATACGACAGTTATAATAACGGAAGTTAAAAGGTAGACGAACCTAATTAATGAGAAATGTCTTAGACATACAAAAGAAATGGTCTATGTACTAACACTCATTCTGATCAATAATCGTTCTTAAACAGTACCTACCTTTCATTTTAATTGGTCTCTCCTACTGTGTGTGTGCGTGTGTGTGCGTGTACTTGCATGCAATTTTCTGTTTATCTGTGCTCCTTTTTTATTTTAAGTTAAATAGTATGCAGGGATGATGACACGATTTGTCGACTCACACACACACAATGTCTGAATTTAAATGCTACCAAAGGGGTTATCTGTCACCGATCATATATTTTTTTTCTCTTCTTCTTGTTCTTCCCTCATTTATTTAATAATCGCTTCTGCCATGATGATGTATGGGTCTATGCACTCGATAAAATGAATGCATGTGTGGAAGAGCATTGTGTCATCTATTATACCTTTTTTTTCCTCTCTCTCTCTTTGCTTTTTCTCACTTTTCCGTTTCATAATGTTAGCTGTTTTTTTGGTTAATATATTGTATGTGTTTGACGATGCACAAGTCCGATATAAAAGTGTTACTTCTCGCATGAAGATTTTCTTTTCTTTTACATAACAATTCTATCTTAGGGCAATAGAGAATAGTAAGAGGCTAAATAAGAATTTTCTTTTCATTTTATTTGTATTATGTACGTTAGATAGATCAAGTATTTGAAGGGCAAGAACAGTAGACGAAGAATAAAAATAGTTGTCCTAATAATTATACTATTGATGTTTGAATAGAAGGTAAAAAATTCAATTTAACCCTGATTTTATATGTGTGAGAAGATGATTAAACTTGAATGTACTTTTGCGTTCGTCTTTTTTTTTTATACCTTATTATAACTAGTAGATCAATTACTCTTTATTTCTTCTTTGTTCTTATTTTGAACAATCTATAGTCTATAATATATATGTGTATATGATTTATTCTAGGCTGTAAATTGGCCTCTGTTAATTGTCCTGGGCGAACAGCGTCAATGGCTGAATTAACAAATCATACTGAAACTAATCTATTTACGACTAGTTCCAATGAACATACACTTTTTGCCGGAACACTTCGTAATTGGGGCGATCCATTATTACAAGGACAAGAGCCAATACCCGTACCTATATGTCCACGTTGTGCAACATGTAGATGCGAATCATTAAAAGCTTTACCTAAATCATCAGCTAGTCAACGATATCATCATCATCATCAAAAATATCATGAACCATCTTGTCCAAATTTTCGTCAACATGAACGTGCTAGAACTACTAGTAAACAACGTCAAGTAAATAAACCCAAACGTCGTGTTAACTCATACGATCCATCAATAACCTTAGACAATCATAAATCATTAAAAAAACAATCAATGGAATATTCTTCATCCGCATCATCAACACCTTTAATTAAACAAAGACATTCATTCTCTAAAATTCCAGTGAGAATATCAACATCATCATCAACACTTACAACAACAACGACAACAGCAAGTGAATATTCTCCAGCATCATCCGTCTATGAAAGTCGATCATTAAATCTAAAAACAAAAATTCCTCGACCTATTGTAAAATTAAATTCATCTTATCCAACTCTTTTTACTCATACAAATCAAACTATATCAAGCAGTGACGACGACGACGATGATTTCGATGATGATGATCACGATCACAATAGGTAAATAAAATATTTCTAAAAATAGTCTAGAAAGAACTAAAAGAAGAAAAATGGTTTATTTAAAAAAAATTAACAATACTATATTTTTGTATTTTAATAGATGAAAGAGAAATATTTATAGACGCATGAATACTTAGACATGCTTGACCGCAAAAAAGAGAATTGAAGGTTTCTTTCATAACTAACTACAATAAATGTAGTAGTTAGATAGAAAAAAAATTCTTTTACATTAAACTAAATTTTTATTTTTGAAATTAAGTTTTATCGGAAATTAGCTTTTTGAGAAATATATTTTATAATTATTGTTTGTTAAGTTATAAAAAAAAAGTTACACTAAAGTATAGTAAACTACAATTATTCTTATTGAATATTTTTCTTTTGAATCGATTAGTAAATATTTATTGAAAGGCAAGCAACATTTATAGATACTCAATTTTTTAGCTTAACAAAAAAATCATAAGTATCGGCGGGCACATATCATTGTACTTCACTTATTATATTTTCAAAAGAAATAACTTCTTTCAAAGGCATACCTTCACTTTCAATTCTATTACTAGACTTCTATTTAAATAAACAATCTCGTTTGTTTCAATAAAAAAACTTCATCGACATAAATTATGTCCGTTCAAGGATCTTTTCTTTTTTTCTCATTCATTCACATTAACACACAAATAAGATATGCCTATTCTTACAAATGAATAATGATAGATTTACCATTTAGAACACTTTCTACCTTTCAAACAATCACAGTGTTAAAACATACAGCTTTTCATGGTGAAAAATGAATATATATGTATATATAAAAGTTAATATGTAACTTCTCCTTGTATACTTCCTTTCTTTCTTTCGTATTAATACACGCAATAAAATGTATATTTCTACATAGTAGACGAATCTATAAATATCATTCGATAAATACTATGAACAATGATGTGTCACTAAGTACAGTAAAAAAAACATTATCAGCATGAAGAGTGACAAAAACAATTTTTCAAAGAAATATAAACTGTCCTATGCAATAATGTTAAGTGTTCTGTTTACACCTAAATACCATTTTTGAAAATAAAACGAATAGAAAACATACATTTTCTTTTTGTAAAATATCTTTATTTTTTTGTTTCACATAATTTCAAGGTTACAATTGCCATAGACACATCGCAATAATATAGACACTTGAAAGTTCTTCTAAAAAAAATGAGAGACGAATAAAAAATAAAAGAGCAACATATATATATACATACAAAATGAATAAAAAATTTCAATTCATTTTAAATTTATTCTTATATTTCTTCTCGTACAAATCGAATCAAATAACAATATGCTCATATCATCAATAGGTACTATAACCTTTCATTTTCATCTTCTTTGATTGATCCTATATCATAAAGAACTTACTGATTCGTATGATAGTTGAACTGAGAAAAAAGAACAGGTGCTATTATGCATCATTGATAATTTTTAATCAATATTTTAATTGTAAAGTTCATTTTTATTTTTATTTTATGATATAGTTTAAATGGCGATGTTCATCCAACACCGCCTTCAATGTCTACAAATGAATTATCTCATACAAATATGTTACCGAAGAAGAAAAAGAAGAATATTATAATGATGTATTGTACTTCAAATCATATAGATGATATTGATGATCAAGTATTAATAAAGAAGAAGAAGAAAAAAATGTCATCATCGCCAAGAATACATAGTTTTAGTGAATCATCATCAGATGAACAACACGAACAACGATTTTGGTATAAAGAAGGTTAGTTGAAGAGTAATCATTTATCTCGGGTTTTTTTTTTCTTCAAATTGATTTCTATTTCGTATACGTAATGATGGAAGTGAAAGGGAGTATGATGAACAAGAAATGAAAAGAATGTGCGCAAAAAAAAAAAGAAATAACAAGTATCGATTAAACTAATGTACGTTATAAGAGCTAAACAGGATTTTACATTGATTATAAAATAGTCTCTCAAATTTCTTTGTTCTCAATAGAAGGACAATGGGATCAAATATTTCTCTTTCTATTTTGATACTTCATTATTATAAATATATCTAGACCTTATTGATGTTCTTCCATTAATAATAACTTCATAGACAAACCTATATACATGTAAAGTCAAACAAAAGAATGAGAAATATATGTACAGACATTGTGTCTCGAGCAATTTTACGTCATATAAATTAACGCTAAATCTATATGTTTTCATTAGCAGATTGAGTTCCGTTCTTTTTTGTTGTTGACTATGATCGATTTTCAATTGTGTTCGAAATGTCTGTCATCTATATACAATATAACTATTAGGGAATAAAAGGTGTCATATAAATGTCCCTGTTGATAACAGACATTGAAAGTTTCGAATAATTTTTCTTTCCTTTTATACATAATACCTGGTATGTGTAGTATAATCAATGATTATTATTCATATTAATACTAAAAGTCTATATGTATAGTCATTTTGAAAAAAAATATTTATCGAAAGGGTACGAAAGTATGTCATTCATCTACTGTTATTATCAACGAAATCCTTCGCCAAATAACTGGATTTCATGTGAGTATATTATAAATACCTTTTCTCCCTTTCAAATCATTTTCAAGTGGAAAATTATGAAAGAAAAAAGAGTGCGCATATGTCTTCCGCTCCGTTTGATGGTATATCATGTGTATGGATATGTAAATGCACTATTTCGTCATCTGCACATATATGTACATAGAGAGAATAATCAATATCGCTTGAAAAAACACGTCGAGTAAAAATGTGGGTGTGAGAACTTCGATGAACAAATGATCAAAATATACATACATACATATATATATGTATACGCTCTTTTTCATCAATAATCATTTCCGGCAGACATAGTCTCCTTGCAAATATATATTAGTTGTTTGATCTATGTGGACAATGTAACATAGTTTGAATAGCATAAAATATGTACTATTGTGACTACAACTTGCTAGCTGTTGATTAATTTTTAAATGAATAAAAAAATCGGTCTATGTATATATATGGTAATCAATTAATTCATAGTATAAAATCAAATAAAAAAAAATTCGGTTTCGTTTGGGAACTGATTAACCGTATACGTAAAGATTACTATGATTGGAAAAGACTTCGATTTTATAATTAGTTGTCGTGAATGGACATAAGTCTTTTATATTAAATGACAAGAAAGAAAGAGAGAATACAAAAAAAAACTACCTTCGATGGACAATGATCGAAGTGATTTAGCTTTACATTCTGTTTCTCTCTCTTTCTCTCCTTTTTTTTCTCTCTCTCTTTTTCTTAATGTCATTACTCAGTAGGCGGTAACGACGACAAACGAATACTATTACCTATCGTACATTACATTTGATACATAAGATTTGCATCGAAAGAAATTAATGCTGTTGTTGTTTTACTTAAAATACTACGTAATATCTTCGTTGAGTGCCATTAGGCAATGTATCGTTCAAACACTTAGAGAATTTAAAATTGAATAATACAAAAGAATAAGAAAGAAGAATTGTTCATTTTTATTCTTTTAAACTCAACATCATGTTTCCATCAATTGGTACGCTGGTTAATAAGACAATCCTCGTCTTACGCGGTGAGTGAACATTAAAAGAAAAACTAGATATATAAGATAATAGCTATTAGTCGTATAAATACACCAAAGAACAAGACTAAGGTCTTATGTCTCGTTAATGATGACATTAGATAAAAATCGCTTTTTTTTGTTTCTTCATCTTCTTTTCATATACATATATATATATATATACATTTTAAGATGAGTTACTAACAGGTGATGAAGTTACTTTATTTATGATTAACAATTATGGGTCAAATGTCAATATATAGAATATGACAAAGAAAAAACAAAACACGCAAGTGTCAAACTCTTTTTATTACCTATTACTAGAATACATATATCATATTACTAAAACGTGTGTCTATAAAGAGTCATTATACTTTAATATAAAAGCGAGAAATATATATATATGTATAGTTTCTTTTTTTTTTGTTCTAAGAGATCAACTTAATGTCTTAGTCATTGATTTCTAAATAATATCATCTCGTCTTATAAGATAACGACGGATAATCATTATTTGCTTAGAGTAAATTATACAATCGCTCATTATGTTTAGATAGTAGTAACATCATAATATAAGTCAACTATATCCTCAAGTAAATAACTATTCGTTCTAAACAAAAGAAGATCTAGATTTTGTTCATTTTTCTATATCGTTTGATGCTTAGACAAGCGCAAGTTATATATACACTTCTAAGGTTTTTCGACGATTCTAGTCAATCTTTGTTATTCTTTTATTGATGTCTATGTTCCGCGATAGAAGTACAATTGAAAAAAAACATTCGTATATGATATTGAAAAATGAAAACTGTTTTAAGTACTTATACGTGCTTTTTTTTCTCTATTCTTCTCAATTATTGAAGACTAAAAAGATAGACTATTGTTCAAGTGTGATTGATAATTGCTTATTAATTCTCAAATTTATTGAATAACATGAAGATGTCTGATAGTATTACTACTACGTAGAATAAAAATGATCTTTTTTCTCGACTGATTTATGTAGATATATGAATTAAATTATGCGTTTATATATATATATATATATATACGGTTTCTGTGTTCTATAAATAGAATATAATGTAACGAATTGAGATCAATATAAAATCACTCTATACTGAGCAATATCAACAAAAAAAGAATGTTTGCATTCACCTACATACATTTAAGCATCTGATGCATTTCATTATTTCACAACTAACCTTGTGATCTCATTTACTTTCAAAATATAACTAAAGAATAGAGAAGAAAGAGAAAGAGAAAGAAAATTTGCACAGATGTCTTGACAAACATAGTTATATCCAATTGATTGAACAATGATATAGAACAAAAAAAAAAGAAAAAGAATTAATATTCGAGGTTATATATTTTGTCTATTACATTGTTAAGTTATTCAATTTGTTCGTTAATTGATAGGAAAAATGATATTCTATTGAAATATATATATTTATATTAGACAATGACCGTGAGTGGAAAGGGAAGTATAGATGGTACCTTGGTAATTTATTACCAAAGGTGAATCAATTGTCTCCCCTCATTGTCATTTAATAGAGAACAATCGATGAACCATTTTCTTTTTTTCCGTCGCATTACTTTGAACAAGGTTTTCTCTTTTTTCTTCTACTATCGATTTTATTCATAGGTCGTCATTCGAAGTCAAAAGCAACGGGACCATCGTCAGCATCATATATTGACGATTTGTCAACAAGCTCTTCTTCGTCTTCTTCTTCTTCTTCTTCCACATCATCATCAACATCATCTTCATCAATGCAATCGAGAAATAAATCTCGACCATATAGACTTGCATCTCCTACTCAAACTAACAAACTTTCACCCTTATCGGATGATTCATTATCCGAAAAAGGTGTACAAACATTTAAAAAACGACGTCCACGTTCAGCATTTATTTCATGTGAACCACCTCCACAACGGTCAACTCGTATTGTATCAACACCATCATCAACAGCTCCATCAGTTTATTTAATTGAAGTTAAAAATAATAATCGTCCAACGAATTCATTTGGTTTAACTAAAACAATAACATATGTTTGGAGAAATAATCATCAAAATAAGAAAGAAGATGATTTCAATAAATATCCAAGATATTCTGTTGAACAAGTACCACCAATGATTGATAATAGCAAACGTACAATACCAATATCATCTCGACATATAACTTTACAACGCGGTAAAACCGATTGTTGGCAAAATCAACGAACAACATCAAATACAATATTAACATCATCATGTCAAAATCATACGGGTTCAGCAACAAATTTACTTCCATTAGGTACAAAAACAAAACAAAATGACGTGAAATATCGTACAAAACCAAATGGACATGTTATATCAGTAACAACAACGAAACGTCAACAACCATCATTATTAAATCAAAGACAAAATACTCGATGGAATATTGAAGGTAATGGTAAACAAATTCGTTATTCAAATTTGAAATGGTATAGTGCTGATCAATTACAAAAAGACAATCGTTTAATAATAAAACCACGAACAAAACGACGACAACAAATATCAGATAGTGCAACAGATACAGGTTCATCAAGTGAACCACATAATCAATCAGCACCACCAGTTCTTCAACGTAAAATTAGTCCCTATGTATCTGATGATATCCCTGAAGGTAAAAAAAACTAATTTTTTTCTATCCAAGTTATTAGTCAAAATAAGAAAATATAAAAGACGATAGACTTTAAATTAATGTTCTTGACAGATCTGTAAACGACATTATATACAGTGAGAGTAAAATGAAGAGATAATGAATATACCTAATAGAATAGAATTTTATATGAATATGAACCTTGGAAGTATAATAGTTTTTATTTCTTAAGTGACCACCTTGAAAGTTCATCTTATGTAGTAAATTTTTGACATATAAAATTTTGGTTTGATGAACTAGAACAACGTCATGACAAAATTTTTATTCAAAAAGAAAAATGAAGTATTTCTTCGTTGAATAATACAAGAATCTCTTCAGTTAATTGATATATTCATAAGAATATTTATATATATATTATAATAATGTTTAAACTAATTGTTTTATATTTTGTATTAAGAAGAAAAAGAAATCATTTGTATCAAAAAATTTCTTCGTTGAAAATTATCAATTTCATTTCCGGTATAATGACTCTCGTTTGATTGATATACAAAATACCGTAAAGTATATGCATAACGTTCGACATAGTTGCCCTTTGAAATGAAAAGAAAAGAAAAGAAAAGACAAGGTGACACTCTCTTATTTATAATTAACGAAACGCGTGTTGTCATATAAAATTTAAATTCTTTTTGTTATTATAAAGGTCAAGAGTTTCTCTTTTTATCAAACCTATAAATATCTTCTAAATATCTATCCTAAACATATAATCTTTTATTTTCTTAATCCAATTTAAACTGTAAACACATTTTTCTTTTCTTACATATTTTTTCATGACTTAGTCTAATTAGAAAAAATGAAAATCTATTTCTTACAATTAGTTCCTACAGAACTTCCTTGAAAAATTTCTATGACAACTAACAGAACGCAAAAAGAAACGACGGCGAAAACAAAGCGGAAAATATTATAAAACTATTATATATAATTATTCCAAAAGGTTCTTTTTTTATATTCTATTGATCTTTACTCATACATCATTAGTACATGTTCGTCAAACAAATAAAAGATATGTATTTATTGTTCTTCATAATCTATCGATTTCCGTCAATTGACCTTAGAATCTTAATATTTACTTAACAAAACAAAAATCATAAATTTGTTTTCAGTATGTTTATTATTAAATTTTAGTTTTTGAAAATACAACAATGAATAATAAACAAAATGATTTAATTATACCAGATTATTCATCATTTCATCGTGAAATCAATGATACATCATCACCAGTAAATCATGATGAAGAACAACAAAGTATATCAACTTCATCTTCAAAAGAAATTCAACATATTGAAACACTACTCAATGAATATTCATCATCACCACGAAAACGAAAATTAAATTGTTCTGGAAGTACAGATGAAGATGTCGATGAATTTAATATAGATATAGATTATACTGAAGATATTGATCAATCAGCAGCAACAACAACAATTCAAACCTATCGTGATCGATTAAATGCACGTATCAATGCTGAAATAAATCAATTTCGTCCAAGAATATTATCAACTGAATATTCACAAATCACACTCGATTCAGGTGTTGATATCGCAAGTGAACAAAAAATATCTCAACCAAAAATCGATGAACAATATTCCGAAGAAACTGCGAATCAAAATGATTTATGTGCTCTATCAGATGATTCATTACTTGATATTGAACCGGCACATCATAATCATGATTTATTATTAAAAATTCCTACAATAACACATGAACAATCATTATCATTAACAGAAGAAAGTGATGATTTTAAAAGTTATATAACAGCTATAACTGATACACAATTAACGACTAAAAATGAACGTGGACCATCAAATACAAGTGATCAATATTATTCCGCTGAAAGTGAATTTAATACATCATTATCATTTCCAAATAATGATTTATATAATAGTATTGAATTAGAAAATGTTAGTGATGAGGATAAAGATAAACAAATTCATCATAATAATAATGAAATACAAAATTTATGTACAGAATTATCTCCATCATCATCACCAAAATTTGATTTTAAATTACCATCATTTGGTGATTGGATTGATCATGTATTTACAACATTTCTTGCTGAAACAAATCAACATTCAACATCAACAAGTCGTTCATCATCGATTATATCAATACAAACATCACAAAATACAATTGATACATCATCATCTCAAGTATTAACTGTTATTGAAAATACGAAAAAAAATCAACATTTAACAATTATATCAACAAATCCAAATATATATGATGAAATTAATCAAACGAATTCTTTACATCGACGATCACAATCATGGCCAAACAATGAACAACAACAACAACAACAGGATGAGCAGAATATTAAAGGTAATTTTTCTTGTTTTTCTCTTTTTTCTTCTCCTTTGATATGCAAAAAAAAAATCTATGCGAAAGCGCACAGCTGCTAATCATCAAGGCTACAATATGACGGCATTCACAGTTCAAATACATGTTTTTGTTCTACTATAGATATGTCGAGTTCAAGTTTGAACAATGAAAACATCGATTTTAATTCTTCGACCATTAAAACTAATTACGAACAAATGGATACTATAGACGACCAAGAGCCATGTAAAATATCACAATCATTACTATTGTCATCGATTAGAAATGGTGATGAAGGTGAGTTTTTATTATTCTAGCTAAACGAGCAAGTAAGAGAAAAGGGAAAAAAGCAAGAAAAAAAAACGTAGGGGAGAACAAGAGTCATTTCCTTTCACTATAAACGAGTGTACGCTATTGCTCTTGAATAGCAAGGTAACAGAAAGAGAGAAGAAAAAAAGTGCATCGAACACTCTTTTTTTCTCTTTTCACTTTTTTCCTGTGTAAGCAGACGGGCGGTTCAATGATGGAGGTCAACTACTGGCATAGAGTAAGTAATAGAAATAATAGATTCGATATTTGTGGAAGTTGAAATTTTTCTTTTTTTTTTATTGTATTTAAAAATCGTGAGTAATAGTAACGAAAGAGAAAAAAATATTGTTTTTTGCTTATTTAATATAATATCGAAAAGGAAAGAATGAAGGAAAAGAAAATAGTATTAATACGCCCACACGTATATTTTCTTCATAATCGATTTAACATGCACATATTTATTGTTCAGTGAAATAAACGGATACCCTGATCGTTGTTTTCAATCAAAGAGCACCGGCCGACTGCCTATATTGTTCTCGTTTGACGATGAGCATCAGCTTTACCTGTTCAATATATCCTCATTTTTTTTTCTTGCTCTTATTGTCTGACAATAGCCAA